CTTTGATGGAATAAATGTTCAATTTTAGGTACTAACGGATAAAGAGGTTCCTCAACCGACCTTTTAGTCATGCACTGGCAAAGCCTGAAAAAGAAAAACAAAGAAAATAACAAGTAGAACTATTTTAGAAAAACAAACAGGAGTAAAATAAAAAAAAATGCTATAACAAAACTGTTAAACTTCAAATTGTCAATCCCCAGCAACAGCGCCAAAAACTTCTTACATGTTGTGAGTACTATATATTGGACGCAAATATGTGCAAGTATACACAATCACACATGTAATAAAGAATAAGTGAGTATCGTTCCCACGAGGATTAGAGGAAATTGCAAGTTAAGTTAAAGCACGATTACTAATTAATCTAATATAGTTAGTGTGGTGATATGCACAAGTGAAAATGTAATGACACAATTAGATGTGGTTGCAATATGGTAGATGGAAATATTGTAACAAATGAATATATATTTGAAATGTAAGCAACTAAAATGACAAAGCAAAGTGAGTTGAGAATTTGGAAATAAGTACGCAGACTTAGTAATCCTCACACAACAAGCTACTATGGGAATGAATGGTAGGGTTACTAAGGAATCCTAAGCCTTGTCTCTCAGAATGAATCAAGCTTCTATGGTTTATTTTCTCAACAGAGTTTACTAAGAGTATCTTTACACTCTCTCAAGTCATGGGACCTGACATATAAAAATACCGCAACAAACCCTCTTGGCCTGAATAACAACATCTAACCTATAAAATAAGCTCAACTTCTATTAGTTGTTGAAATCTTACCTTAGTTTCTCTCGAACGCTAAAGTTGGATTAGGCTCTAGTAATTAGCTAAAACCCATTGCTCACGTTGATCCTCACTTAGTTTCTCTGGAACACTAAGTAATATACTTAGGAAATGGACACTCTCATGCCTCCTACAATCCAAAGTAATTAAGCACAATGAGCAAAATAAATAGATACACATAAAAACTCAAATCATTCATTAAAGTAAGTACTCAATCATCCATAAAAACCCACATTATATAAAGTTTAGTTCATGGTGGGGTTCAAAATATCCATGAAAATATTCTAAACCATATAACCCAAAAATCAAAAGGAAAATAAAGCATAAGGGTGGAGGATACTCCCAACGCGCGTTGTCAGTTACTCTTCGGACCACCACGAATGACACCTTAGCGAGCTAGCTCCTCTCGGATGGCCAACACGCCACTCATTAACTATGGAGGATACCCTTGAAAAGATAAAAGAGGAAATAAAGTTGGGATCTTTCTAGCCGTATTTCTTAGCTCACTATTCCCCTCAAATAATCCTCTCATTCATTTAGTGGTCACTTTTTCTGTTTATACTAGGGGAATGTCCTAGGTTTTAGAGTAAAAATTCCCTTAGTACCCTAACGTACGTTCCTCTCGCGTGAAAATGGGAGCAAAGGTGGTTGTGGTCCCCTCCAAGGTGGTTAACAACACATAACACATGATTGCTGGACAACTGGCAGCTCTTATAAAAACATTTTCTTTATTTTTATCTTTTTCTGTGTATATGAGTCATCCTAAATTGTCGTGGCAATTATCTTTGCTCACCATCCAGGAATGATGCGACAATTTTCCATTCTCACCCTCTTCTTCATCGACCTACACATCACCAGCCAAAATACGATCTTCCCCGTAAAATAGCACCATGTACAAAATAATATTGCACGACAAACATAAACCACCAAGTACAATTATATGCTCTTAAATACATCTATATGAACCTATATGTGCTTTAAAACAACCAATAACTTAAGTGAAAAAGCCCTAAATATATCCTTTTTATGGAGTTATCACATTCTAATATCCATTCCAAGCCCTTTGAAAATTTTTGCAAAATTTTCCAATATTTTTCTACTATGGTTGAAAGTTTAATGGTTGAATTTCTAATAATATCCAATTTATTTTATGCTTGAATTCAAAAACTGCACATCATTATTATTCATTCCAAATCATTTCCATATAAAAAACATCAAATTCAACATTTTCCCCTAAACCCTTATAGTAGCCGAACGTTTCAAAAAAATTCCTTTAATTATTTCCAATCAATTTTCATGCTTGATTATAACTCCATAACACTCTTAGCATCAAAATCTAACCTTTCATTGAATTCTAACCTCCCCTTCATCCACCATAATAACCACTTCAACATTTTCAAGCAAGGAAACAATGAAATATTAACACCAAATGAAAGAGAATTTAATGTAGAACATTTTTCTATTTCACAACTTAGTCAAAATCTAAATAAAATGGATTAAAAATCGAAAACAAAATCACTCACCTTTGGCTACGGAGACTCACGGCTATGGGGAGAAGAACACAAAATTCATGAAATTTCTATGAAAATATCTAAAGCCAGTTGTTTAAATTCTAATTAAAATGAATTTAAAATTCATTTTGGTCCCAAAAGACTTTTATTCCCTTAATGAATCTTAATATTTACCTTCATGTCATCATTCTATCTCCATTTTTATAACATTAAATAAATATAAAAATCATATTTATTGATTTCCTCCTTTACTCTTTCAATTTTCCAAAATTTCAATTTAGTGATTTTAATTCCACTATTCCACTTTAACATGAAAATTCATTTAATTCCACTAATCCACATCAAATTCTACTGATTAAAAATACCTGAATAATACTTCTAACCCCATATTACATTCCACTTTTCTGAACGTCCGATATGAGATTCATTGGTATCCTCCTTCTGGTTTGCAGGTAAAAATCAATGTTGATGTCAGTTTTTTATCTTCAGATAATAAATCCTATTCAGGTCTGGTAGCTCGAGACAATGGAGGATTCATTATTAGTGCTACTTACCGAATAAATCTTAATGTTCGATCAGCGTTTGAGGTAGAAGCTTTGGCAGTGGTTCAATGTCTTCAATGGTGAAGATTTGTCTACATTGACCGAAACGGGAACAAAACTGCACATACAACGGCTCTCGCGGGTAGAACGGCGATTGAGGACTGTTTTTGGATAGAGGATGCTTCACCATAGGTGCTTTCGTCAGCTGTTACTGATCCCTCATCTTCTTTGATTTGGCTTTAACACTTCTCCCATGGCGTTTAATCAACAGAAGTTGGATCACCTGAGCTTTATTTTAGCTTTTATTTTACTATTGCTTTGACAATTATTTGTTTCAGTTTACCTCTTCATTTTTTCTTAGACAATTACTTTTCTTTATTACTTTGTAATTTTATGTTTCTATCCTTAATAAAGTGTCTCAGATGTAGGGATGGGCATGGGTCGGGTTTAGGCCAACCCGACCCGAACCGAAAAATATATATCATCCACTCGACTCGAACCCGACCTGAATTTTTGAGATAAAATCCGAATCCGACCCATCCTAAAATAATAAAAAATATTATTTTTATTCAATAAAAATAATGATTTAATTTTAAAAAAATATATATAGAGGGGTATTATTGTAATTATTTCTAAATATATAAGGTAAAATTATATTTTTCCAGTCGACCCGAACATCACCTTTAAAAAAACCCTACCCGAACCCGATTTAAAAAAAACCTGACCCGATTGGGTCGGAACCCGTCGGGTTCTAGTCCCATGCCCTCCCTACTCAGATGGTACATTTGTAAAAAAAGTGAGTAATCTATTGGATGAGAAAATTTACCTTATATATATATATATTTAGATTTAGATTTTAGATTTTATGATTTATATTTAATAAATTTTGGTTTAAGGGCTATTTTTGCTCATGTAGTAGATTTAATTTATTATTTTCATCTCTATGATATTTTCGCATCAATTTAGCTCTCAAAGTTATTCAATTGCATCAGTGTTAAAATATTTACTATCGTTTAAAGTTTCAAGTTAGGATTTAGGGATTACAACATGGGTTAAGATTTAAGGTTTTAACTTAAGGTTTATGATATATAAGATGATGCAATTAAATGATTTTAGGCCTAAATTGATGTAAAAATGTCATAGAAGCGAAAATAATAAATTGAATCTACTATAGGATCAAAATTAAATCATAAATTTTTATTATTCGTATTTTTATCAATTACATATAGTATAATATACAATATCGAATTTAAAAATATTAAAAAAATAAATTGAACATTAATTTCAATTATCCTATCCCCTTCAAATGTGATTGGTTATTTGGATGCTAAAAATCGTATTGTAAAGAAAATAATTTTTTTGGGTGCACTTTATCTAAAGCATCAAATTAGACATATAAACAAAGGATTATATCCCCTGAATTGCCAATTATACAGTGGAAACCCTAGCACTCGTGGAAAGGACATTTCATTAGAAAAACTGTTAACGTTGGGGATTTTCTTTAGTTTCTAATTAAGTAATTTGCCTTAAATCTAAAACTTCCAAAGGACTAAAAAAAGGTAAAATACGTTAGAGGTTATTAAACTATACTCAAATAATCATTTTAGCCATTAATATTTTGAAAAATATTGAACAAATCAATAAATTTATTAAATTATGATCATTAAAATTATCATTCTATTACAAAGTGATCATATAAATTTATTTAATTATTACTAAATATTCTTATTACAACATTATACCAATTATTTCATAATTTTTTTAAATTTAAGTGACCAAAATAATCACTAAAATATATTTAAATGACTTGTAGTGTAATTAACTAGAAAGGAGATGGTGGACCCGTCACATGTTGCCTCAAGTCCCTCTCTATCGGCCGCACTTACGCAAGCCCCGCCATGGACCCCACAAAACAGTTGGAGCGTGTTAACAACATTCCTTAATAAGCGAGTGGGGAGCGCAGCCCCGCTTTTTCTGCCATCCTCTCTTTCCTTGCTTTTTCTGAGGGAAAAAAATCTCCATATCTGGCACCCTTTATTTTCTTCTTAATTATATAATTCACCTTTTTAGGTTTCTGCTGGGTCCCAAAACCTGCCATGTCCAGCAAATCAAACAGAGATGCAACGGCTTATTATTAAATCTTCTTAAGCCCGTTACCCTCTGCTCCTCAACTTCTCTCCTTTTTGGGTTTCTTCTCTGCAATCTGCTTTCTTGGTTCTCTGCTCGTTTTTCTTTCTTTGTTTCACATGGCGGAGGGTTTAGACGACGGCGAGTTTTGCCTTCCTCCTCGGTTTTTAACCTACGACGACTTGTTCGTGGACAAGAGTGAAGCTAAGAGCAATAACACCAAGAAACTGGAGGACGGGTTCGGGTCTGGATTATTTGGTTTCGCTTCGGATCCAAGTTCTCCATTTGAGTCAGTGGTGGGTTCTACAGAGACTGAGAGCGACGAAGAGGATTATCTCACTGGTTTAACTCGTCAAATGGCTCACTCTACTCTCGATGATGGTGCTCCCCCAAACGGCCGTGCTTTTACGTCTGAAAACCCTAAGGTTTGTTACTGAACTAAACACTAAATTATTCGTTACGTTATTTGATTTATGGATGTTTTCTTATTTTTTTGGGTTTTTTTTCTAGGGTTGGGGGTTTTCAAGTTCGCCGCAATCTACCTTATGTCCGTTGAAGAGCGGATGCGGTTGCATGCAAGGATCTAGCCGTGTTGGCTCTACTTTTCCGTCTCGAATTTTGTCGTCGCCGGCAACATCTGATCTGCTTTATGCGGCGGCAGAGGAAGTTGCTAGGATGAGAATGACTGAAGAAGCTTACGGTGGAATCAACAACAGAGGCCTTTTGCGTTCACCGGCGACAATATTCTCTCAGAAAGTCGACGTTTCTGGCGTTTGCCCATCTCCTCAGCGGCTTTCTCACCAGAAGCTGCAGGCCGCTCGAGTAAGAAGCTCTAGACAGCCTAAAAATGCTTTGTTCATTTTGTTTTTTTTCCTCTGTAGTATTAAATCTGGTCGGGTTTTTGTTGTCAGTTTCAGATTCTGAAGGAACATCTGCTAATGAAACAACAAAAGCAGAAACAACAGCAACCGCACAACCATCCCCAGGTGGTCCAAGGCAGAGTGAGGATCAACAACGGTATTAATAGGCCTATGGGTTTGTTCCCCTCTGCATGGTCCCCTCTGCAGCAGCAAAACCAGAAGCCAAACGGGTCGGCTATGCGGGCTGTTTTCTTGAACAATCCAACTGCCAAAAGGGAATGTGCTGGAACTGGTGTCTTCTTCCCTCGCCGTATTGGTGCACCTCCTGAACCCCGCAAGAAGCAAGGTTTCTTACCTAGCATCTTTTTTTGCATATGAGCTGCATTAATATCTGTATTTTTCAGTATCTGATTTTGTTTATCTTCTTGATTATTTTAGCTGCTTCTCATACTGTTCTGCTTCCGGCTAGAGTGGTTCAGGCCTTGAACTTGAACCTCGATGAGATTGGAGCTCAACCCCAGCTTCATACTCAGTTTATCCCAAATTCTGCTGCTGACACTGGTACAGAGTCATGTCAATCAAATAAAGTTTTTCTAATCTTTTTTAGAATTTCTATTATTTTTTGACTTTGATTGTATTTGCAGATTCTGTTTTGAAACTTCGAAGTGGTGGGAACGTGTTAGGCAACCAAAAGCCACGCAATTTCAGGCAACAAGGAATGAACCATGATGTGGGGTTGCCTCAGGAATGGACGTATTGACTCAACTGTCTCATATCTGCTAGTGGTTGACTAATTCTCTCTAGGTTTCTTTTTGGGAGTTGAGGAAGAGGGAAAGATGTTAGTGTTTGGTTATAGGGAAATAGTGTAGAAAGTATAGGGTTTTTAAGAGTGAAAAAGATCTCTGGGTTAGTAAGAAGACGATGAAAGGGTCGTTTTGGGGGAAAATAATGTAAGAACTTCTAGTTTATGAAGCACAGCTTTTGCTTGGGGCTAGGAAAACACAATTAGGCTTTTGTAAATCTGGGATTTGGGTCAATAAGTTGACGGTGAAAAATGTTGAATGAAATGAATGCGGACAGTATTTTGTCCATCGTCTGCACCACATGAGCCCTACTACTGTTAGCACATGGGTGATCTTATGTCCGCTTTTCCATTGCCAACAGAAATAACTATAATAATAAAATAGAACAGATTTGTCATTTATTAACTATTACGGTTTAAGGTGGTCTTATATTTAATGAATCGGTTAATAAAGTAGATGGAACTTTGCATCTTTGCTGTGCCCAAGGCAGCTGCTGGTTTAAGCCAATTATAAGATAATATTAATATTCTTCAAAGGCTCGATGGGTAATTAACAGTAAAATATTAGAGTAAAAAACAAAAGAAAGAGACGAGTACCAAAGCGTATGGAACATTAAGGCTGCTACTTTGTATCTTTTGTAATATTTGTGAAGAATTTTTTTAACTCAGAGCCTAAAACAGTAAAAATACAGTGGCTCTAGCAGTTGCACCGCCAACAATAGCCAAGCAACGGCTGGCCATCACGCCCTGAATTCATGCCTGCCCTTATGTTTGTCGGTATTGACGTGTTCAAGATTTCGATTGCAAAATCCCAACAAAATCTTTGCTTCGTACCCAAAAGCAATGACAACCCTTCACTTCTTTTGCTTTTATCAACAACGGGAGACGGGTCTATTAATTAGTCACTGCACAGTTTTTCTTCTTCTTTCATATCCTATTTGTCATGCTTTTAATCAAGTCTGGTTAAACGACTATGAGACACAATTCCGAAGGTCCATTGCGCAACCTCACTAACCTTTCCATATAAATCCTTCCAAGCAGGTATAGATCGAGGTGTTGGGGTTGCGGTCATATTTTTTTTTTGAATTAATCATTGATATTTGATATGTTGATTAACTAATTTAGATAGAGTACTGTAAAAGTGAGAGCGACATTCTCAACCAGTTTGCTCTATTCTTAAACGTCAGAATTTGAACCCCTGACCTTACTTAAGGGATCTATTGTTTTATTATCTAGAAATTTTAAATTCCTTTATAGATTTAAATATTTTATTCCTATTTTTAATTTTATATTTTGTACCCCTAATATTTATAAACTTATCTTTTTATCTAAACTAAAGATTTAGACTAAATTTAGGTGAAATTAGAAGTGGATTTGGGATTAAATTGAATAAAAAAGTTTGAGAATTGAATGTACAAAATAGTTGGACTGTTTTGAAAAACACATGAAATTGGGGAGTTATGAAACAATTGACCCTTTCAAATACAATCAAATACAAAGTGCACTGGGATTTTGTTTTTCATTACAAAAAGAAAGTTATTTGACCTGTATTTTGCCCCAATTTTCTCTCAACTTTCTTGATTGTTTCTTAAAAGTCAAACATCAAAGAATCAAATCTTACCCTCTTTTTCGATAATTATTCTTGAGAGCATCACGAAATCACCCCAAAATATCAAATTTTCTCATCTTTTTCATGGACTAGCTTTCCTTAATTTTTCAATTTCAATCCGAGGAAGTTTAAAATTAAGGTAAAAAACTTGTTTCTTGACGTATTTTCAAGTTATTTAAAGCTTTAAAATTCCATTTTCATTTATATTTTCAAATATGTTTGTTATTTTCAACCTTAAATTTACTTTAAGAGCTTTCATGGTGAAATCTTAGTTTCATTAAATTTCTTTTATTTTAGAACTTCATAAGTTATTTTCTATGTCCAATAAGAGATTTATGATCCATTCTTAACTAAAAATCATCATATTGATAATCGAAAAATTGATTCATTTTTTTTCAAACAAAGGGATCTTCCGAAAGTAATATTGGTTCTTCTCAAGTTAGAACATTTTGAATTAGAAGCTCAAGGGAACCTTGAATTGAGAAGGACATCAACAATTTCATAACTTTGTCAAGTGTTAGCAAAGACTCAAAACTCAGTTATTTATCATCTTCTTGACCGACTTGTTCGTCTTGTTTTAACTCTTTTTTGTTTCTACGCGACCACAGAACGAGCTTTCTCGACCATGAAGCTAGTGAAAACTCACTTGCGTAACAATATGGAGGATGAGTTTTTGTCGAGCTACTTAATAACTTTGATTTAATAAAAGAGCGTCGGACACAATTCAGAATGCCTACTTTTGACAAGTATGAATATAGTCTTTGTAATATTTTGTAGCTTCCTAATTATTACTATCCGGAAAGTTGTTTTAACTTTGTTCTTAAGTATTTTAGGAGTTATCTTGTAACTTCAATTTCTATAGTAAGTTTTCTTCATCTCTAACATATAAAACTCTAGTATATCGGTACAAATTGTAAATCTTTATTTTTTGAGGAATAGAAAAGAGGAGATATAGCTCCAATTTCTATAGTTAGAAGTTCTCTTCATCTCTAATAGATAAAACTCCAGCATATTAGTGCATATTGTAAATCCTTGTTTTTTGTGGAACTGAAAAGAGGAGAATGAGGAAGAATGTTATTTGATGTGTATATTTCTTTTGCTAGTTACTATAGTTGTTATTTTATATTAACTCATGTCATTATAGTTTTACTAAATATAAAAGGTCGCACCTTCTGACATAAAATCCTACGTCCATCTCTACCTCCATGTATTAGTATTTTTAAAATAAATACACCACTTGCATTAGACTAGTGGAGATTGACAAACGAACTGTTATTACAGGCCTAGTCCCACAAATATTGCTACACCTCCGAAAAAGATCGTTTGAAAATCATTAAATTTTCGTTAATAAAAACTCCCATGCCATAAGACTATCCTTTTAGCAGTCCCCAATATTTTTTCAGACACATATCATATTCAAAATTATAATTTTCGGGATCATTCTTTGAAATCTACAATCCTCAGTATTTGACCTAAACATTTGACGGAATCAAATTTGATAGTTGATAGTTATACACGTAGAGTGTACTAGCCTATTAAAAGACATAATGGTTCTAAGTCTGATAACACCAACTGTCAAAGGGTCAACATAAAAATCCACCAGACAAACATAATATAGAACTCTCTCGCTTCTTTTCAGCTCTATCATGCACATTGTTCATTTTCCTCTACCTTCATCCCCTCTCCACTTGGACCATCACCGACTCATGGCTGAGTCTCCACCCACTTCGATTTTCCATTATAATTAGAAGGGATGAATCGCTAACAATTGATGAGATAAATTTATTTTCACAAAAATATATAGTTTTTCTTTTCAGGTAGATCATAAGCTTTTAAAAATTATTAAATTATAAAATTGGGTTTTTAAGATGGGCCCATTAGAAACGTTAGGCCTATGTTTATTTTGAAAACGAAGGGGTTTTTTGGCCCAATAGAACAGCCCAAAAAAGAAAATTTGTAAAATAGGACACTTACATTTTTATTTTGGGATCTACGATATTTTTTACATTTTATGAAACTCGTCATTTTGAAGTGATGAGTTTTAATAAAAAATATTTTTTATTCAATTTTTTTATTGAAACTCGTTATCTCAACGTGACGAGTTTCATGATTACTATAAAAAAATATAGTATATCCCAAAAAAAACTTCTTCTCACCTTATTTTCCTAAATGATTTATCCGTTTTTCCTATTGGTCAAATAAAACCGAAAACGAATCCCATATTTTACGCAATCGGCCGAACAACAAACCGGTCATAATACCAACATTTGGACAAACCGGAGTGAATTGGGTGAGCTGAAAAATCGAAATAGCCGCCCTACATGCTGCCAACTGCCCAGTGGCTACCCACCAATAATGTGGCACCTTATAGGCCAAGATCAGGTATATCACTTACCTATGATCTTCTTACTTTAAACATGTCAGGGATCAAACACTATTAGCAGCCTGATTTTGTCGAGCGGTTCGCCCGGACGCTTGTAATCATCATCGAAGTCAATTGCTCCTCAACCGTCAGAATTTCAGGTATATTGATTTCCTTTTGTTTAAAGGAAATTTTCGAATTTCAATTCAAAATCGCTGGTTTTCACTTTTCTGTCTAGAGAAGACGGAGCTTTTTGAAGCTGTTAATCATGACTGTTGAGTTAAGATTAATCTTGTTGCAGCTCAGTTAAACAAACCGCGGTTATAGTCAAAACTTGGTGAACTCTTCAGTTAACAATGGCGGTAGAGGAAGATGCTGCGCAGAGTTACTTACCGTCGAAGAAGAAATCGGAATCTGAGGATGATAAGAGGTAACCTCCTTTTCTTTTCTTTGCCTTCAATTTTAAAATTTTGAGAAAAAATTATGATTATGATTTTGGATTTTGGAATTAATAGGAGGAAGAAAATTGTTCCCGGTAGCTTAATGAAAGCTTTGATGAGACCTGGAGGAGGTGAATCAAATCCGTCAGATGGTGATCAGGTTATTGTTTGGGTTTTTTTTTAAACTGTTTCTAATTGTATATGTTGCCGGATTGATTATCTTTGGAAAATTTGAAAAGCAAGACTTACATTGTGAATTCGATAAGCACTAATTTGGATGCTTTGTAGGTTATATATCATTGCACAGTTAGGACCTTGGATGGAGTTGTCGTTGACTCTACAAGATCAGAATATGGAGGTGAATATACCTAAGCATTTGAGTAGATTTAAACTTTTGAGTTTTGACTGCTATGTTAAGAAGAGTGACTATTATATATGGGCGGGCCTTCTAGCGAATGTCGGAATGTTGAAGTTCGACATGTGCGTGCCTGAACTTAGACAATATACATAGTTGAATTGTCTAAAGGTATATGCTTTTTTTCTTCTTACTGAACTGACATTCATTCCTGTTACAGGGAAAGGCATTCCAATAAGAAATGTATTGGGCAAGAACAAAATGATATTAGGGTTGTTGGAAGGAATTCCAACAATGTTGAAGGGTGAAGTGGCAATGGTATTGGCTTTGTACTTTATAGAATTTTTGTGGGTCAAAATATTTAAACAGTTGTGGAAATAAATGAACTATTGCTGTGGAATTTCTTTTTATGTCTTAAAATATATGGTGAATCTCTCGTTTCAGTTCAAAATGAAACCTCAAATGCACTATGGAGAGGAAGACTGCCCTGTTCCAGTTCCAAGTAGTTTCCCTAAAGAAGATGAACTCCATTTTGAGATTGAGTTGATAGATTTCTCCAAAGCCAAGGCAAGACTACAAGATTGCTGCAAATTTTGATAATTTTCCTTTCGTTATAACATTTTGGCATAAAGCAATTCCTTTATACGATGTTCTCGTACAAGTTTTCTTAGTTGTGTCAATAGTATTCATGTGATAGTGCTCATGATATGGCACTTAGCTCTCATTGGTGGATTTGGATGTAGCCTCTTTTAGTTCTAATGCCATTATATTTTTATGGCTATTTTCAGGTTGTTTGTGATGATTTGGGAGTTCTGAAGAAGGTATATACCTCTTTTTGTTACTTCTAATGTCATCATTATTTTTGGTTTGTTGCACTCTGTTGCTGCAAGGACTTTATTCTTTCTTTGATATTTGCACAGAATTTGTTTTATTCTGAAATATATCGTGTAACTAATACCTATATATATTGATAGGTAATAGATGAAGGTCAGGGTTGGGAATCACCAAGGGAACCATATGAAGTACAAGCTTGGTAATTGTTCTCAAGCCTTTTTACATATCCTTTTGTGTACATTGCACAAAATTTCCAGAATGTTTTTGATAATTTGTATGATGTATAATATGTAAATCATTCAGGATTTCTGCAAAGACGGCTGATGGGAAGTTAATTCTGTCACACACAGAAGGAGAACCATATTTCTTTACTTTCGGGAAAAGTGAGGTTGGTAACTTATATTATTTTAGGGTTTTTTTTTTCAGTCATCCTGGTTTCCTTTATCTAATGCGTGCTTGATCTACGCTGCTTCATTTAGTTATGCTTAAGCAACTGTTGATATAATATTGCATTTGCTCTCATAAAATTTAGGTACCTAAAGGTCTTGAGATGGGAATAGGAACAATGGCTGGGAAGGAGAAAGCGGTGATTTATGTTACAAAGCAGTACTTGACCCCCTCTCCCCTCTTGCCTGAGATTGAAGGTTATGAAGAAATTCATTTTGAAGTGGAGCTTGTTCATTTCATCCAGGTAAGTCATTCCTCTCATATTGATACCTCTCATAAATGTTTTATCATTGGGAAAACTACTTGGCAGATGTAAGTGAACTCTCAAATGTTGGACTAATAGGTAAGGGATGTGCTGGGAGATGGGCGCCTAATTAAACGACGACTACAGGATGGAAAAGGTGCTCCTTGGTATTTTATTAAACATCGCCATTGAGAATCAACTTATTAGTTCATGTTCTGCCACATTTTCACCTATGCATTCATCTGAAAGTCTTACTTTGGGATATGTATTTAACAGTTTTTGCACTCATTCTTATTTGGTGGGAAGATTCCTAGGATGTTGCTTCAAAATTTTGATTTGCATGCGTTCCAATTAAGCGCTAGTTACTGCTTCCATCTTTTTCTTCCTTTAATTTTGTCTGCCAAAGATCCTGGTTGTGTGGCTGCACAAATGATGGTTATCTTTTCTGTTTGGAATAACCAGGGGAGTTTCCCATGGATTGCCCGCTTCATGACAGTCTTTTACGAGTCCATTACAAGGGCATGCTTCTTAATGAGAAAAAGACAGTCTTCTATGATACAAGAGTTGATAATCAGGGAGAACCTTTGGAGTTCAGTTCCGGGGAAGGGATGGTAAGTTCACCATAGAAAAGTTGAACAGGCTTCTTGAATGATGTCTATGCATTCATAACATATATAGTTGAAATCAAATGCGAATTGCCTACCAAACTGTTCTCTTTTAAAGAAAATCATCATTCTAAGACGCTTTATGCCTTCAATTAATCAGTCAGCTTTTATTTTGCCGTACAGGTGCCTGAGGGATTTGAAATGTGTGTTCGCTTGATGCTTCCCGGTGAGATTGCTCTCGTCACTTGCCCTCCTGACTATGCATATGACAAGTTTTCAAGGTGAATTTTTTCCCTCTAAATATATCTTATGTTATGTTATTATTTCGTGCATTTCCTGAGTCCTCTTTCTATTTGTTTAGGCCAGCTAATGTTCCTGAAGGTGCTCATGTTGCATGGGAAATTGAGCTTCTTGGTTTTGAGATGCCAAAGGTAACAAAGTCATGTTGTAGGAACTTATCTATGATTTGGTCATTAAATTGTCATTATGCACCGATTTATTATTAAAAAAGTGTTGCATTTTTCCTTTTACTTGTTTTGGTTCCTAATTTAAACCTTTATTACAGGATTGGACTGGTTTGAACTTTCAGAGCATTATGGATGAAGCAGAAAAAATTAGAGTTACGGTATGTGGTTTACTATAGATTTGTATCTTCCTCAATGAGCCATTTATCCATTTATTGGATGCCCGGTACTTTGCATCTCCATCTCCCTATCTATGCTTGCAGTCTTTTGCAGAAATACAGAATTATTATTTACCCTTGTCTTTTTTGTGCTGCATGTAACACATGTTATTCATATAATTATATTTGACCATTACACTCCATTCGTTTGCAGGGTAATAGACTCTTCAAAGAAGGAAAATTTGAACTTGCCAAGGCAAAGTATGAGAAGGTACTGTAGTTACTATATTTCCTACATCGTATATTCTTTTATGATCTTAAAGACTTAAACTATTCTTTCTTTAGGTTGATATATAAATTGAACCAATGACCTAGAGCCTGATTCAATCAAACACATTGGCCTAATGAGGTAAACAAAAATGATTATAAACGGTAAAAACCAAATTATATATGAAGTGATAAATATCCTGAGTCTGGATATCATGTTAAACATCCCATCCAAGATGCATGGCAATGGACCAAAAGTGAACTTGAATAAAGCATAATTAACAGACGTTCATGTCAAACCAGTAGCAATTTTCCTATTATGGTGAATTTAAGTGAATCTTTAATTCGATTCCTTGTGTTGCTTTATATGTAGGTGCTTCGAGAATTCAATCATGTGAATCCACAAACTGACGAGGATGGAAAAGTGTTTTTAGACACAAGAGTAAGTGTCATCCTGCCTCATGCTAACTGAAAGAATCTATTATTTTCTGTGATTGATCATTTATTACATGATGTTAGATCAGCATGTTTCTGGAGTTTGCTAATCTTTTTCCTGTTTTACTACTTGAAGAATTTGTTGCATCTGAATGTGGCCGCTTGCTTCCTCAAAATGGGTGAATGCAGAAAGTCCATCGAGGCCTGTAATAAGGTTAAACTGAACCTATCTTTTTCTCCCTAAGCTGCCTTATGTTGTACTTGTTTACTTGTCTCAATAATTAACCCTCCGATGAAATCCGTCGAATTCTGGATCTTGATATGTTTTGGTGGAACCATGTAGGTGTTGGATGCAACTCCTGTACATGTGAAGGCTCTATACCGTCGTGGAATGGCTTATATGGCTGCCGGAGATTTTGAGGAAGCAAGAAATGATTTCCAAATGGTTGTTATAATGTATTTCATTTAGTTGTCTAAAGCTGGATTCTGAAGCAATCTCTAATTGTCTTTCTGGATGCTATCAGATGATTAAAATCGATAAGTCTGCAGAACCAGATGCAACAGCTGCTCTATCGAAACTGAAGAAGCAAGAGCAGGTGTGTTAATTAGCCATAGTTTTTTTTTTGGTCATTCAAAACAGTGGAAATATGGGAATTCATTTACGTATCACTTAACTTTTGAGCAGGAAGTTGAGAGGAAGGCTCTGAAACAATTTAAAGGACTATTTGACAAGAAGCCTGGAGAAATTTCGGAAGTTCAAATCGAAGAGAGAGCTGCTGTAGATGAGATCAGTGGCGAAAACCAGAAGAATAGCGAGGGTTCTTCATCAGAATGGGATGAGTCTCCGGATTTTCCTGCAGCGGTGGCGGCACCTCCAGTAGGTTGGTTTTACAACTTGTGGCCCACCGGTGGAAGACTCTTTTCAGCTCTCGGGTTTCAAATATGTACCGTACTCTGATGCATGTAAGGTACTCTTTTATGGTCTGAATCCGAACTTAACACCATAGCATTGGCTGCAGAGTGCTTAAATTAGTTCTTTCGGGAAAGAATAAAAATGTTCTGGTGTAATTTCATGGTAGCATGTATGATCAGCGATATATAGGAAAGAAAGGGCAAGACCTGTTCTTTCTGAGAATTATTTACATTTTACATTGGAAAAACCTGATTTCAAGCACAAATATTTGTACTCAATATCCAAGTATATTTCAGGCAAATTTAGAGGGGAATAGTGATGGTAGTTTTGTTGTACGACAGCCTAATATAAAGCTAAGGAAAGATGCTACCGGAAATGTTAATATTTTTTTAATATTTTCGGTAGAGCGTTATCTAAAATGTTATTTTTTCTACCGGAAATATTAATTTCGCTATCTAAAATGAATATTTCTGATATTAATATTTCCGATAGAAAAAAATAGCATTTTAGATAGCGCCCAATATTAATATTTTCGGGAGAAAAAAAAACATTTTAGGTAGTGTTCTACCGGAAATGTTAAAAAAATAATAACATTTTAAGTAGTGTTCTACCGGAAATGTTAAAAAAATGTTAACATTTTCGGTAGTGCATTTCTGTAGCATATTAGGCTGCATTTCCTTAGACATCCCCGAATAGTGAAACTAATTTTCTTTTAGCGAAATGGAAGGGAAGTATTGTGATTGCTCTCGTCTTCCTGGTCTCAAGAAAGAACAAGTGAAAGTGGAGATCCAACAAGGCAGAGCTGTTAAGTGGTGTGTGGAGAAAGATGACAAGAATGAGACATGGCATCGTGCTGACATGGGAAGTTCCTTAGAAGGTTCTTGTTACCTGAAAATGGCAAAGCTGATAGAAGTTAAAGCAACGAGGGAGAATGGAGTACTCACCCTCACCATACCCAAAGTGGAAGAGAAGCAGCAGTCCATTGAGATCAGCGGCTAGATTTTAACCTGTGTGCTCCCATTGTTCGTCTTCCTATATCCTAATGCTTGATTAGAAAATAAATGAATAATGGAGTGTTTGTTTATTTCATTTATTACAAATATAAATCATAAGATGAAGTGTTGTTTTCATAAGATTCTCCAAAGTCTGAAATGCTGGTCATTAGCTTGTCCATGTCTTTATCTGCAAGGCATGGACGGATGGAAGTAAGTCCAAGTGCAGCACGCACCATATGTACAGCAACCAGAGTATTTTGCAATTGACCAAAAGGACTGGGATGTTTTTGTTTCCAATCATTTGCTGGAATTTATGGCTACGGAGGAATAAGTTCATCTTCGTCGATAACGAGTGTTTTGAAATGTACTGTTGGTTTGAGGAAAGAGCGTATTCGAGGCAGAGATGAGCTCAGAGTGGAGAGAAGGTGTTTGATTTGTGGTCGTGTCATGTGGTTGTGTTAATGCAGTTGGAGTTGTAAGATACTGTCATCGATTTTAATGTTCAGGTTTAATAAAAAAAAATCAGTTCATCAAATACCTAGTGTGTGTATGTATATTGATTAAATTGAGATTTATACAGTAATATTTATTTAATTTTTTTATTATTTGACAATAAACATTTAAATATCTCTTGTAAATTTTATGTTCAAATTCGAAAAAACAATACATCAAAAAGATTTTTATTTTTGTTCGTATAATTATAATTATGATTTTATTAAAAAAAAGTATATTTCATGCTTTGAATTTTCTTTAACTCTCAGCAAAAATCCCCTCATAGTTTGTTCGAGTCGAGACTTAATTAAGACAACGGAAGAAAAAAAGAGTGCCCAAAAATCTTATTCATTTTTACCAAAACACATTGAAATTATTCGATATACGATATAACTGTTTACAAGAAAAACAACTCAACCTTGTAGAGTTCTCAAACCATCCTCCTAAAACTCGAGAATGATATACAATACAATGATATAAAAAATATACAGAAACACATCAAGCCAACTGGAACCAACCCAACTCAGCTCAAGAAAGATTATTGATAAAAATAAATTGATCTTATCGTTCGTTGACAGCTCACACCTTTTAATCTGGACGAAAATTTGTAATTGGTGGAGACTCAATCATGAGTTGGGATTAATTTACGTGAGGAGAATGAAGTAGAGAGAGAAGAGTAATATAGGTGAGGGAGTGAGAAAAGAGAGAATACCCGTCAAATTTATCTAATAAAACTTTATGTTAATCCTTTGATGATTGATGTTAAGTAAGGATCATCATGTTTGTTAGTAGGCTAATAAGCTATACATATATGAATGTCAACTATCATATTTAAGTATGTCAAAAATCACGTAAAAAATTAATAAGTATGAATTTTAGAGAGAAATTTTAATGGAGGATGGTTCCAAAATGACAGTATCTTTGAGAAAATTTTGGAAATTATGAAAATTTGTTTAAAGGGTGGAGTATTTCAAATGTCTTTATTGACAAAGATCCAGTAATTTTCGAAGATTCTTTTTGGAGGTACAATAAAAAAATAAAATTTTTATACAATTTTTTTTGGTTATTTTCTCGATTTTAGGCTTTCATCTTGATTAATATAGATTAAACCGCGTCGTATATCTAGTTTTGTTGGATAAGTCTCTCAGGGGGGATTTTTTGCATACTCAAAAACTCAAACTTGAAACATATTTAAACGATATCAAGCTGCTTACCACTTAAATCAACTCCGCTGAATAAATTATTTATATAATTTTGTAATAGCTATTCAGATCCAATTTTGTTTTGTATTTTACGGTTTCTAACTATTCCTATTCAAAGCTCTTTTGACACAAACCTTAAACCTTACAACCTTACAACCTTACAACCTTTGGTGCCAGCATGTCATGGAGGTGCCTGAACAGTGGACATGCTTTTAAGTAAAGTTTCTAGGATTATTGACCAAGTTACAAGCATTTCTAACCATCCGATCGAATTTCAACTCATATTTATCCATGGTTTTCAGAACCGGACCGGTCAGGGAACCGGCCGTACTATCGATTTACTGGTTTAATTGGTCGAATCGGTCGGAAGAACCGGACGATATTATAATTAATTATTTAAAAAATTAAATAAAAATACCAAAAACATTTAATAAAAAATAATTTTTTATATCACAAGTCATATTCAAAGCAAGTTATAACATATAGAAGTTAAAAATCATAAAATCAAGTGAAACAAAATGATTTAAATTAATTACAACATAATATTTAAGGTAAAACATATTAAATAATAAATATAATTATATAACTATAATCAAAAAATAAATTTGGGGCTAAAAAAATCATAACAAACGATGTCGTTTGGTTTAATTTAAAAAAAAACTCACATGAGTAAGAAACATAGAAGAACATCACAAAAGTCTAAAGAGAAAATATGAAAACAAAACAATCTCACATGGCTAAGAAACATAGAAGAACATCCCAACTGACTTCTATAAATAATAGAGGTAATTTGACATTCAAAATCATTGAGCCTTTTGGTGAGCACAGAGCAAACTATTCTTATGCTTCAATCGAGCTCGAATTTCAGGCTTTAATTGAGCTTCATGGAGCCTTTTGGTGAGCACAGAGCAAACTATTCTTCTGCTTCAATCGAGCTTCTAATTTTTTTTTGAGTTCGAGCCTTTTTGAGTTCAAGTTTCAATATTATATTTCGATTTCGAGTTGAACTTAATAATTTTTAACTCTTGAGTTTTTGAGTCGAGTTGAGCTTACTTTAAAGTTTTTGAGTTCGAGTCGAGCTCAACAATACTTGAGTTCGACTCGGCTCATTTAACAAACGACGTCGTTTGATTTAATTTTTTTTAAAGTCGGTTCTATTGGTTTTCAATCGGTTCACGGTCCGGTCCGGTTCAAACGGTTCACAGCCGGTTCAATGGTTCTTTTCGGTTCACTAATAGCGGTTTAACCGGTGTAGAATAAACCGGACCAGGCAACGATTCCCGGTTGCACCGGCCGATCCGGTCCGATTTTCAAAACACTGTATTTATCATTTAACAATACCTTCTAGATTTTTTTAAAAAAAAGATAAATTACACAATTTCTCATTAAACTTTACTTTTTCTCTTATTTCATTCATTATACTTTAAGCTTTCCAATTTACTCATTGAACTTTTGAATTATTTCTGTTTTTTGTCACCCTAAATTATTATTTTTTACTCTATGATGTGATATTATTATTATTTAATACAAAAATAATTTAAAGTAAATAATAAAATAATATCCCTAATTCTAACCCCTTTATTTTCTTCATCCTAACTTTCACTAACGACCACCGCTTCTTTTTGTCATCGTATATCACCGTCAGCCTTCTGAACCTACAGTCGCTTGACCCCAAATTGTACCAAGAGATTCGTTTGGACGCACTGAATACAAATCTAGTAGTTGTTTCACTGAAAAATATTCTAAAACTAGTGAATATCGACGACAATATTTTGGTTTCCTCTCTTTCGACCTCCAATTCGTGGACTTTAGAGTATACTCTGATAAAATGGAAGTAAGATTCAGACTTAGGGGATGAGATGAAGCTACCAACAAAATCTGAGATCGAATGATCACCATCTACGGCAATCGACGATAGTCGACATTTTGTTTTTTTATTTTATTTTTGATTGGATTCAGAGCATGTTTTGACAAAATAGAGGTCTGATTTAAACTCAAGGGTCGAGACAAAGCGACCGATGAAATCTGAGACCGAATGATCACCATCTACAATGGTTGATGATGGCATCCAACACCAACAAACAGTAGATGGTCACCTTCTTTTTTATTTTTTATTTTAAATTATTTTTATATTAAATAATTAAAAAATATAAATAATACCAAAATAATAATAAAATAATTCAGAGCGACCAAAACAATAACAATTCAAAAGTTTAATGAGTAAACTTAAAAAAACTAAAAGTATATTAAGTGAAGTAGGAGAGAGAGTAAAATTCAGTGCGATGTATTTCACTTTCTAGACCAAAAGGACGGAAATTTCAATATTACCCTCCCGCCAGGTTTCTTCAAATTTAAAAACTAATTAAATAATGTGAAATGGTTGACCCAAGTCTTTGTTGGGCCATTATTTTTGTTTGATTATATTTCGGGGTTTTGTTCCATTTTTGTCACCATTTTATTATGAAATTATCCCAACTATTTTTACCATTCCGTTTTGATCCCCAACTATTAACTATCGGCTTCTTATCATTAAATTTCATGTACTATTTGTTATAATTTAATTTAAAGTAAATTACATATTTAATCATCTAATTATTTTATTTGTTATATCTTTACTTATACAACTTATTTTTTAGAATTGTTTTTCAAATCAAAATAAATAAAACTGTTTTAAGAGTTTGTGGTTTGATTTCACTTTTAAATACATGGATATTTGAAATCAGAATATTTAAGATTAATTTTGGGGGCTTAGAGTTTTTGACACTTTGGAATTTTCGGGGTTTTAACCATTAATTGGACCGATTTCTTTTTCAAAAATAATTAACCGAACTAAATAAAGTTCGATTAATCAGTCGGTTAACCGAAATTTTAAATAATATGTATTATATATATTAAATATGAAATATTTTGACTAATTCGGCTAATTCGGTTGGTTAGTTCGGTTGATTAATTTGGTTAAACCGAAATTTAAACACTCATAAAACTAAAATATATAAATAATATATTAAATATTTAAAAATTTCGGTTAATTAACCTATTTCTAAACAAATTAACCGATAACCAAACTTTGAAAAAATATTAATCGTTAACTGAACGAACTTAAAATTAACAGACCGATTAACAAAAAAAATTCAGTTCGATCGGTTTAATTGATTAATCGAAATTTTAGACACCCCTGTCTCACCCTCCACCAATGACATTAAGTAAAGAAAGAGTAAACTTTTATGTTGGCAAAAATAATACAAATAAGAGTAAAGTAAATAAATGTTATTCGATTATAGAGTACTATTTTATTAAGTTTTCCGATGATTAAAAGTTATAAAATGATCTCTAACTATAAGGTACTGTTATATTGAGTCCCTTGATTATTAATGAAAAATGACGAGTTTAAAACATATGAATAGTCAGATGATTGTTTTATAATTTTTAATTGTAAGAGGACTCAAAAAAGCAGTGTCTTATAACCGGGTGATCATTTTATAACTTTTAATAATTGATGACTCAACAAAGCAACACCCTATAATTGATAGACTATTGTATAAATTTTAATAATTGAGGGACTCAACACAATAGAACCTTATAGTCGGGGTTCATTTGTGTATTTTACCCTAAAATAATAGGCTTAATTAGAAAATTAATGTCATATTTTGATAATTCTAAAAATTTTATTAGAAAACTTAAAATTATAATTAAAAAACTCGTTTTTTCAAACCCTAAAAAAACCCAAAACTTTGAAAACTCTCATTCCAATTCATATGCCCATGCAGTTCATCAGGCCTTTGCCACCGTTGTGTCTGCGA